AGTTGATGGCACTGTTGAGGTGAGTCAGCCCTGCTGGAGAGAGCATGTTGCTGGGGACAGGCAGACCAGACGGTAAGATCATGTAGCCTCCTCACCCAGCTTGCAGTTGCTTTCTCTGCTTCACGCTTGCCTTTGAAGAGCCTGGCTGCCAGGTGGCTACTTGCTGCCGCGCCTCCTCCTCCTCGTAGTGGACTGTTGTTCCCCGGAACCACAAGCTCAGATAGAGTCCTCCTCCGCTCAGTCGGTTCTAGTCGTCATCACTGCAGCAGAAAAGGGACTACTTACTACACAGGCAGTCCTGGGGCCTGGAGCTCCGTGTGCACCAGGCCGACCTCGGACTCACCAGTTGCTCATTTCTACCTTCTAAATGCTGGATTAAAGTGTGCACCACCATGCGTGGCTGGTTTATTTGTCAAATTATGCGTATGTTTGTGGGTATGCATGTGGGAGTATGCATGAGAGTCCCAGTACCCACTGAGGCCAGAAAAGGATATTGGATCCCCTCGGCCTAGCATTCAGGTGGTGAGTGCTGCGAGCGGAAGTGAGGTTCTCTGCAAGAACAGCATGCACCTCTTACTGCGGAGCCAGCTTTGCAGCCTGTTCAGAACGTTAGGGAACGATGTGACTCTCGGGGAAGATCATTCTTTCACAAGTGTTTGAATGGGAGCACACAGGACAACAGTGTATGTTACTAGCCTGTGATGAACGTTTTGACGATTGAATCCTCAGTTTTCCAGTAAATTTGAAATAAATACTTCTTAATAAGAATTCAGTAATTGCCTTCCTAAAAGGAAGAGTTATCTGAGTGGCTTTGAGGAGTACTCTAAAGATGTAATATGCAGCTGTACTTTATTGCCAATGATGTGAACCTCGAAGCCTTTGAGAGGTGACTCAGTGTTTAAGAGCACTTGCTGTGCCTTTGAAGGTGATCGTAAGCACTATGCAGCACTTGCCATCCGATTACTTTTTCTTTCAGTACTATCATGAATATGTGCTTTTACCATCTGTACTTTGTAGAAGAAATTGAAGGACAGTTGTAAAAGCACCGTGCTTGGGCCTGAGGAGATGGCTCAGTGCGTAAGAGCGCATGCTCTGTAAGTACCAGGACTGGAGTTTGAGTCCTAAGAGCCCACATTTAAAAAAAAACCTGGCATGCCTGCAGCCCCACTGCAGGGTGGAGAGAGGGGTGCAGAGGCAAGAGGCTTGCTGGGGCTTATGGCCTCTAAAAGAGCTCCCGGTTCAGTGCGAGACCCTGTCTTAAGAATAAGGTGGAGAGGGTTCCAGCAGGATGCCCAGCATGCGTCTCACATCAGCATTTAGATGTGAGAGCACACCTCAGATGTCCACTGTG